CCCTGCACTCTTTCTAGAGTCTCAACATTTTTTTGGATTGTGGTGACCAAAACTGGATGCAATATTCCAAGTGTTGTCTTACAAGGCATTATAAATTGATATTAACACTTCACGTGATCTTGATTGTAATCCCTCTATTGATGCAGCCCAGGACTGCATTGGCTTTTTTGGCAGCACACTGCTGGCTCATACTTAAGTGTTTGTCCACTCCGTGAATGTTCCCCCAACATAACAATTTCTGAGAAAGAAGAGCCGGTCTTAAATGTGGACAATATTGTACAATGGAAGGGAAAAACTAATTTGGCTAGTAGAAAATTACAGAAAAGGGATGGGTGATGGTAGGCAGGGCAAAATTGGGATATAACCATGATTAAACTCTTCCCCAATTTCACCCAATCTATATGTGTACTTTTGGTTTTTCTTGCCTAAGTGTAAGACTTTATTTTTCTCTACATTGAATTTCATTTTGTTAAGATAGGGTCCAGTGTTCAAGTCTGTCAAGATCCACATGGATCCTGAGTCTACCATCTAGAGTGTTGGCTATTCCTGCTAGCTTAATATCTGCAAATTTGATAAGTTCCCCTTCTATACCCTCATCTAAGTCATTTATGAAGATGTTGAAGAGTACTGGGTCTAGGACAGAATCTTGTGATACCCCACTGCTCACTTTCCTCCATGTAGACGTAGTTCCATTAAGGACTACTCGTTTTCTTTAACTATAACATACTGTATAAATGAGCAACTCTTGGCTGGTTTCAAATGATATTTAACCTAAATTAAATTATGACTTAGGGTAATTTGTGATGCCAGACTCGCTGATACATGCTTAGAAAATCTTCTAAGTTTTTTGCCTAGTTCACTTTCAACTGAAAGTAGTAGATTATGGCCTGCTATCTATTAGCTCAGTGGCAGTATCTGACGAACCTTGTGCTGTAAACTAGATAGGGAAATGGGGAAAAAAATAATTCTGGAAGATGACATAGTCTCAAAGAGCCAGGTTTGACTAAAAGGAAGGAAATATTAGCATCAGAATCCACAAGACCTCTTCAAACGTAACACGTTGTTGGGTGTATCCATGCCATAGTTGTGCCACTGTTGTGAGGGCTCATTTGGGCAATTTTATTGGCTGAGTGAGGATATTTTGGTGGCCTACCAAAATAAGTTAAGCATTTGATAAGATCTTTTTACTATGTTCTGAGAGTTAAAATATTGTAAAATTCTTTACCAATCAAAGAAGTAAACCTTGAGCCATTTCATAGCAGGTAGGAAGCATAGCCTCTCCCTCTTACTAAAATAGTAAAATGGGCCAGAAGCTATGGCAAATAAATGTGCAAAGAAGAAGAGATGAACTCCAGTAGAGAGAACAGAAGGAGATGATGCTATGGAGTTCTTGGTGCTATTTGAGCTTGATTTTTTGGGCTTGCAGGGGTTTCATTACCCAACCAAGTAATGTTGATTGCTGAAGGGGATGTGTTCTAGTCTTTTTGTTTCCTAGGGAACCGCATTTCCTTCATCAGCCAACACTCAGATAAGCAGGCATCAATACTAGATAGGCAGAAAACAAGGTACCCCAGCAAAACTAGCAGGGCAAGCTATAATATATAAACAGGCAGCAAACCCTACACTGACTCGCACTGAAGATGTTACCTAATTGGGTAGGAGGGGGCTGGGGGTTGCCAAATTGGAAAACCTCTAAAAAGTATTGTTAGTAGGACACATCCACAAAGCCAATATGACAATCTGCATCTACTTAGAGGCACAGAACAAAACTACGCACTTGAATTTGAGAACAATTGTGCTCATTTCTTGTTTTGAGAAAACCCACTTTAAAAAATGAGAACAAGATTCAGAATTCTGTAATGGATATATTGGGTAAAAGTTTTTTTTTTATTTGATTACTCTCATAGGCTGAGGGCATCAAATTATTGCTGCTAAGTTCTCTGAATCTGATGGAAACCAATCATCTTCAAATGACAACGGGACTTTTTATAAGTTAAGATATGAAAATTTATTAAGCAGCTTTGTGTGCAAAAATTGCCAACTATAAAACCATACAATATTTTTGAGACATTTATAATAACACAGCATCATCATATTCAACATATGATAAAAAACAGTTTTCCAGAATTGGATGGCCAATTCTTATAATACAAGGTAACAGACGTACATAAAACAAATTGTCTTTTATAGTAAACTATCTTTTGAGTGTTTCAAACTACCCATGTTTCTAATGTCTACTTTTTTTTTTAATCCAAACAATCCTGGGCAGTTTCTCCACTGTCTATTTCTTACCCTCCTCTTCAAGCAAGACAGAAAATGTCTTATCAAATATTTCAGCCTCTTAATATTTTCATAGCATGGTTCAGCTGCACATCCTTCATCTTTAAGGCTGTTTCTCCATGTTTTTAGTTGTTTTGACGTACCCTTGGTAATTGCAGGGTGGAGAGAAGAGAGATTGCTCACCAGCTGGAGTAAATAATGAAGGTGTCCACACTCCTTCCCTTCTGATAAACATGACTCAGTATCATGAAAGAAGCACTTCTCAGTTGAGCCATCCAGAATCCTGTATAATTACGAAGTAAGAGGAAAAAAAGATGGAGGGGAAGAATAAGATGGGAACGACTCAATAGAATGAAGGGCACAAGTCATAATTCTTTTCCTTTTTTCCTTATCTATCCTTTGATTCTTTTTGCTTGTATTGCAATTAAACATTATAATTTAAAATGTTTTTTTTAAAAGAGAACTGTCAGAAGGCAAAAAGACAGTTCGGTAGAGTCAAATTTTGGGTTATGGTTTTCAACAATTCTGTTGAGGACCAGACACTGTTAATCATATCTTTAGATTCAGCAGACTTCTTGAAAAGATTAAGCAGTATGTGGATTTTTTACCTTGATAACATCTTAGCAAAACTACTAAGAAAAGCCTAACATGGCAAAGTATATGCTGTGGATACTAGAACATCATCAAGTCTAGCCCCATTGCTATCTATCAGTCTTTGTGTTGGCAGAAAAACATATCAGCAAGAAATTTGCTCTCTCTTGTTGCTGGTACCAGTTTTGTCATTAGAAAAAAATATGTTTCCAGGACAGAAATGTTTGTGCCACATTTAGGCACAAGTAGGGAAATGCTGTAAGAATCAGATAGCCCTGAATTATCAGAGAGTTGATAATCTCTAGATCAGGGGTCCCCAACCCCAGTCCATGGACAGGCACCCATCCAGGGCATGCCAGAAAACAGTCCGCACAAACAAGCGAAGCCCCATCCACGGGATGCAGGCAGCATGCGAAACCATGCCCCCTCCGGTCCACGGAAAAACCTCTCTCCACAGAACCTGGTGCTCAAAAAGTTGAGGGCCGCTGCTCAAGATAACACAGTATAAATACCACTGTACCCAAATAATACAATGTACTACTTGTGCTTTTTAATGAAACAATAAAATAATATTTAACAAAAAAGAATTCAAGAGCCTGTGATGACTCCTGGAGTAAAAAGAAAAATGAAAAAGAAACTGTTTTTACTTATGTTATTGCACTCCTTTTATGTAAAGTTCCTAAAGGCTTTTTTGTCCCTGTTGTTCTACCAGGAACATAGTAGCCACTGTAAATTTGGCTTGCAAATTGGACCTAAAGAATATAGCCCTTCAAGCCAGAAATGCAGAATATAATCCAAAGGTAAGCACCAGTTTTCTCTCTCATCTAAGGATTCCCACCCCCCACCTCTGAGGCTGCTTCTCCTCAAACTCTGACCTCTCTAAATATGTTTCAAGCAATTGCTTGGCCTAAATAGATTCTCTTTAAGTTTGCTTTTTCCAAGGTGGCTTCATAGTAGTGTCCTGGCCAGTGAATGTCTACTTATAATTGCCATGCTTTGTTTGCTCATTTCTTATCTATATTCACTCTGCTATTCTTCTGCTATAGAAGGCTGCCTATAGAACACAAGACACACCCCTGACAACCCCATAACATCTCCAAGCCTTGGCTAGCATATCTTACTGAGCTCAAAAGATACAGTTGCCCAAAGCAGTATTTTTGAGAGTCTGGAAAGTCAACTCTACTTCCACTTATATTTTATAACCGAAGAGCAATTTGTTGTGCTAGTCTATATTATCCCACTCCCTCTGCTATCTGACCTATTCTTCCCTGCTTTTATTGAAAAAATAATTTCTGCCTTGCATGTCTATAGGGATACTCAGTCATCCAGGTCATGGTTGTTCCAAAAGTGTTTTTTCCAAAAAGCAACTGGACTTTCTTTTTTGACAACATTTCGCTTCTCATCCAAGAAGCTTCTTCAGTTCTGAGAATTGAAGTTGTGAGAACTGAGAACTCAGAAAACTGAAGAAGCTTCTTGGATGAGAAGCGAAGCATTTTCAAAGTAAAAAACAAAGTTCAGTTGTCTTTTGGAAAAAAACACTTTGAAACATCCTGCCCTGCATGTTCCAAGCCAGTTGTATGTAGCCCACACAATTTCTACCTTGTTAATGAATGTGACTGAGCAGTGGGTCTCAAATTCCTCTCCAGCAAGCCAATTCACACTGGTCTGTTTCCTGCTTTGGGGTAACAGCTTGGTAGTTCTTGCTGTAACTACCAGGAAACGTCACATTTGGTATCATACTTTTAACTTTGGACTCCGAGAGAAACTTTAATGTTTTCTGGTAATTAAAAGTAAATAATATTATTGTTTGGGTAAGAAGCATAGAGGTACTGTATCTGATTAGATGTTTCAAGCCCATCAAAGATTAAGAAAATCAAACTTTATTTTTTGAAAAAATTAAATATAAAAGCCCTGAAAATCACAAAAGAAAATACAGTATTCCAAGCAGATCACAAAATGGTGCTGGTCTGCTACAAATGAATGCTTTCTCAAGGAGATGTTGCAGATTAACAGACTACCAAAAGATTATAAATAAAAATAATAATCTCCTGCCTATCTAAAGAATGGTCAGCAAAATTGAGGCTATGCATTTCCTAATTTTGAATAGAGAATAATAGTGTTAGATGTTTGTCTAATTAAATGTCAGAACAAAGAAAGAAATCAGACTTAATGTAAATTTGGCTAGATTTGATACCTATTTAGAACTAGACTTCTCTTGAAAAGAGGCAATCCCTTGGTCTCAATTAGCTGGATAGTCCTCACAGGCCTGGTAAGTCCAAATATATCAAGACATATAAATCATTTGAATAGATAAAAGGCTACATTCACATTTTTTATTATAGACTTCATTGACAATGTTTATAAGCTATCTTTTATAAGGAGAGACCTATTTATGTAAGGGTTTGTATTTTCCCAGGCCAGTAAGGTCACTTGCAACTATTGAAGCAATCTCAAAATAAGGATAGAATGGGAAGAAAAATGTTTATGGTTTTCAATGGTCTAGCAATTAAGGCTAGAAAGCAGGAGATTATGAATTCTAGTCTTTCCTTAGCCATGAAAGCCAGCTGGGTGACCTTGGGCCAGTAACTCACTCTCAGCCCAACTCCCCTCACAGGGCTGCTGTTGTGGAGAGAATAGAAAGAAGAAAGAGTCCTGGATATATATGTTCACCACCTTGAGTTATTTGTAAAAAATAATAATAGCAAGATACAAATAAATAGATATTCATACAGTGACTAATATAGTTTTAAAAGGATTTTAAATTTGGATTTTTCTGAATTTTAGAGATTTGCTGCTGTAATTATGAGAATTAGAGAACCAAGAACAACTGCCCTTATATTTAGTTCTGGTAAAATGGTGTGCACGGGAGCCAAAAGGTAGGAATGCTAAACTTTACAAGATTCCTCATCTAAGGATAGGATTGTTGTGATATAAGGCTAATGTGATTGATTCAGACCATTAAAACTCCATCTAGTTTAGGCTGGGCATCAGACAACACTGTAGCCATCCTAAGAAACAGCCAACATCTTTTAAATGTTTTTAAGGCAATAAGTACATGTGCATTTATTGCATTGGGAATATCGATTAATTATTTATTTAGTGCCACAAGACCAGCTAGTGCAGGGGTAGGCAACCTTGGCTCTTTTATGACTCGTGGACTTCAACTCCCAGAATTCCTGAGCCAGCATGGCTGGCTCAGGAATTCTGGGAGTTGAAGTCCACGAGTCATAAAAGAGCCAAGGTTGCCTACCCCTGAACTAGTGCATTGTCAAATATAGGGCCCTTGGAAATTCCATTTAAAAAAAATAGAAATGTTCTTATAATATTCCACCACATTAGGGTTAATTAATCTTCCCAAACCTGCTACTTACCAGGTGTGTTGAACTACAGTTCCCATAGATCATCAGCTAGCATGGACAGTGACATGTTCGGCTGAGTATGAAAGGATCTGTACTGGTATTGCTCATTTAACAGCAGCAATTGGTTTCAAGAAAATAGCTTGAGTCATTGTGCAAAGGCAAGTGGCATAAACTTGATCTCCCCCAAAGTCCACGAGGCCTTACCTGGTCATTCCCAGGGGAAGAAAAGCAGTCTGGTGAGATTTTTGTAGGCGATAAACAATAAAGTCCCTGACTCAAGCTATTTTGAGTAGTTCTGGTTGCTGGTGCCTGACAGCACTCCAATTTTTTTGTTCAGTAGCAGGAAACTATGATAGATATTTCTAGCAATTGTGGCATGAGAAACCTTCAGAAGCCAAAATAACCGGTTGGGGAGAATACAGGTGACTAAGAGAATAGAAATTACTCACTCTTGTCGTAAAGCTTTGCTGGCTGGCTTTGTTTTTTAATGCTTGTTGTAAATTTGCAGTGAAGAGCAGTCACGACTGGCAGCCAGA